TCCTCGGCCACCTGTCTGTCCTGGAGATCCTGATCACCACCATAATCGTCCCTGTAATGCTTTGGGGATTGCTGCTCCCTGGGATGCAGACGATGTCTTTGACTGCTTGCATTGCCCAGCTCTTCCTGTACCTAGCTGTGGGGACCACAGAGTTTGCATTACTTGGAGCAATGGCTGTGGACCGCTATGTGGCTGTTTGTAACCCTTTGAGGTACAACATCATTATGAACAGCCGCACCTGCAACTTTGTGGTAATTGTGTCCTGGGTGTTTGGGTTTCTTTTTCAAATCTGGCCAGTCTATGCCACATTTCAGCTTACTTACTGCAAATCAAATGTGGTGAACAATTTCTTCTGTGACCGGGGGCAGTTGCTCAAACTATCCTGCAATAATACCCTTTTCACAGAGTTTATCCTCTTCTTAATGGCTGTTTTTGTTCTTTTTGGTTCCTTGATCCCTACAATTGTCTCCTACACCTACATCATCTCCACCATCCTGAAGATCCCTTCAGCTTCTGGCAGGAGAAAAGCCTTCTCCACGTGTGCCTCCCACTTCACCTGTGTCGTGATTGGCTATGGCAGCTGCTTGTTCCTCTATGTGAAGCCCAAGCAAACACAGGCAGCTGAGTACAATAGGGTAGTGTCCTTGATGGTTTCAGTAGTGACTCCTTTCCTCAACCCCTTCATCTTCACCCTCCGGAATGACAAAGTCCTAGAGGCCCTTCGGGATGGGGTGAAACACTGCAGTCAATTATCAGGAACTAGCCTGGCTGCAAGGCGTTTTACATGGTGATGCACTTATTATAGTTCTAGAATAACTGGAAAAGGACTTACTCCTTTTTGAGCTGCATTATAATCATTATCATTAAAAAATAATCTGTGTGCAATAAAAGACTTTTAAATTATGGGTATTTTTTTTTCTTTTTGAGACAGAGTTTCACTTTGTTGCCCTGGGTAGAGTGCGTGGTGTCACAGCTCACAGCAACCTCTAACTCCTGGCCTCAAGTGACCCTCTTGCTTTAGCCTCCCAGGTAGCTGGGATGACAGGCACCCACCTGACAGCTATTTTTAGAGATGGGGTCTTGGTCTTGTTCAGGCTGGTCCTGAACTCCTGAGCTCAGGCCGTCTACCTGGTTTGGCCTCCCAGAGTGCTAGAATTACAGGCATGAGTGGCTGTGGTTTTTAATGTAGTTAGTTGTTAATTGAAATTTACTTCATTATTATTAAAACATATACAGAGGGTGCCAAAAATGTATACTTATTTTAAGAGAGAAAAAAACCATATTACATTTTTTAATTAAATCATAACTGTGGACATTAATCCATTTATGGGGTGGGTACAAGTCACATTTGACTTCTGCAATTACAAGAGGTGCTCAATGTGACTTGTATTCATCTTTTATTGTTGCTACATAATGAGTATTGTAATTTTAATACAACTTTTCCTTTTCTTAATATGTGTATACATTTTTTAGCACCCTCTGCGTCTCTTTTTCTCTATGCCTTTATTAAGTTACGGTAATTTCACAAAAAAAACTTTTAAAACTTAAATTTTAGATAGTGAAGATAGACTATTTGTAAAGACAATCTAATCTATAGAGTAGATTACTAGTTGCTCAGGGATGAGGGGAATGTGATAATGGGGTAGGGATAGCTAAGGGGTACAGGCTTTCCTTTTAAGGTGATTATTGCAAATATTAGTGAATATGCCAAAAACTACTGAATAGTACAGTTTGAAAGAGTTGGTTTTATGGTATATGAAATAAAACTGTTAAATATTGCATATTAAATGGTGAAGTGTGGTAAGGAAAAGTGAAGTGGTGATGAAAGGGAGTGTTGAAATTGTAAATAAAGTTGTCAGGAAATCTTGAGAGAGCTGAAGTAGTGAGATTTGGGGAATCTGTTAAAGAGGACTCCACACATTACAGTTAGTGGGAGATCCTAGGGAAGGCTCAACAGAGAAGCTGGAAGGGAGAGAGCAAAAGAGAAAGTAGGAGCAAAAGCATCCAGAGACTCATGATTGGGAGGAGACCATGCAGAGCGTTGTCAGCCTTTTAAAGACCTTTGTTCTTTATAGAATGAGTTGGAAAACCACGCAGTGTGTTGGAGAAGAGAATCTTTCTAATGTTCTAGATTATTCTGGTTGCAGAGTGAACCAGAGATCAATGAAGTCAGCCAAAGGAGAAGGAGGAAGGCCACGCAGGAAAGTGCATCAGCCAGCTTTTGCTACATGGGAGACAGCTACAGGTCTCCTGTGGCAAAGAGTAATATGCTTTTACTTTCATGCTCAGGGTTTCAGCTGATCTAGGTAGTTTGGCTGGTGGCTCTGCTGATCTCAGATGGGTTTGTTCATGAGTCCAAGTGTTGGATGGGATTTGTCTGACCTAGAGTGGGCCCACATTTGTAGCCATGGAAAATGTGGCTTTGATCTTCAGGTGGCTTAGCCACAGAACTTTTGAAGCACCCTTCTCTGACTTGGGGTAGATTTTTATTTGCACATTATAAATGAATAAACTTGTTCTGAAAAATCAAGTGGTTTCCCTCCATTCACCTTCTAGCCAATTGAAAAGCTATTTCTCGGATGAAGATTGCAACATCAAATCCCCACCCCCAGAGTACCTTCCCTAATTTTATGGTCATTGAGATAAATAGAGGAGGTCTTATTTAATATGCACAAGTATTTTGAGAGATAAGTTATTGCTGCCCTATTGCATAAGTAAGGAAACTAAGTCACAGGAAGTATAAGAAATCCATACAGATTCAGATAGCCTATTCAAACTCAACTCAAAACTCAGACCCAATGGTCTGCTAAATTTCCATTGCTTTTTTAAAAAGCCATGGCATTACTATCAAATGAATGCCACGTTTATTACTCTTATAAGGATGCAGCACCCTCTCCCCAGTAATGGGCTTAAGCTAAAGCCCACAAATTCCATAACGCTATCCACCCTGACACTAGCCCGCTGGGCTTTTTTTAGAACTTGGATTGAATCACCTCCTCTTGAGGGAAATTTGAGCTGTCTACTAGGGAAATTACAGGATGTCTGTACTTTCTGGCCTTAAAAGTATAAAATTATCCTGTCATAAAACAGGAAGTTAGGCATCTACTGCTTTTTCTCCTCAAAACAGAAGGATTATGATTTTTTTCTATTGCCTGAGTTCTGGGATTTACCTTTGGTTAGATAAAGATCAGTTGACTCTTTTCTCCATCAGAAACTCAGCCTTTCTCCCCTCCTCAACCATGGCACTTATTATTTGCTAACGTTATCAGAGAACTTGTATCTCCATGGGTACTAATACAATTCCAGTTTGTACTCCACCCCAAATACAACCTGGTAACCTTCAAGTAAGTTCTCACACCTAACGTATTATCTCATCTTTAAAAATTGTACGTGGCCATGCTAAAGAATCAAACATTATGACATATAAGCATTTAGAATGAGAACTTAGTGTTATAAAAACAACATTTATAACAATTTATAAATTATAAACAATTGCTATAAATTTATAACAATTTGACATACATGTGATGGTATATACAATCATCACTATGGTAGGTTGCTATTAGACACAAATGTTAAGCATTTAGGTGACTATAATTTCCTTTAGTTTTATCTGGTCTTCTCTTATGGTTTAATTATTATCACTTGAAACACACAAAGCATCTCTTCTTTTTCTTATGTACTGAACAGGTTAAGTAGCTGATGGCTTGTGAGTGTACAGAGCAGCTAGGATGCCCGAAGACTTTCTATCCTCTTTCTTGCCTTTTTCCACTGTGGCCATGTGAACTCCCTATCTGTCTCTCTCCTGTGATTCCAGATTGTCCCTGGTGTTTCCCTTATGGTGTGCCTGCTCCTACCTCCACCAAATGCTCAAGCAGCCCTCCTCTTGTTCTAGTCCTTGGTCAACTGGACCAGTTCTGGGTCATTGTGGTGCCAACTAGTGCAAGGCATCTTAGGATCAGTAAGTTGCCCCTGGTAGCAAGGTCTTTCTAGAACTGGAGGGAGGAAGATGTTGTGACCATTGGAGCCCAAAAGACTATCTAAAATTCTTAAAATATACTCAACAAATATGATCAGGTACTTAAAAATGCTCAGAGCAAAGGGAATATGCTTATTTAATTTTCATTGCAATTTTGGTTGCAAAGTTGTTTTATATGAGAGATGGAGTTTCAGAACAAGACAAGAAAAATTTTAGCTTTCTGTCTCTTCAGAGCTTTGCTAAAGAACAGAGAGCTAGTTTGTTTTGCCTCCTTGGCTGTCTGGTTCTCTTTAAAAGGATCTCTGAGCAGATTCCTGCTCTGCCCAGACCCCTTTCCATTCTCATAAACAATGCTCTGAAGGCCTGGCCTTAACTCAGACTGGGAGGGGTCTTTGCTTTCCCAAATGTGAGGAGACAAGGTGAAAGGGAATCCTCTAATGAACAGATATGAGGTCATAGAAGCTGAGTTTATCCATCCTCCATCATGCTATTTTCTAAATAATGTTCACACCTGCTCACTCCGCATTCTCCATAATAGTGTGGTTATGTACTCTGAAGATAAAAAGATTAAATAAAACTAAACTCTGTCCATAGGCCAAACCCTGTTGAACAGTCAGAAATGCTCAGTTCTATAGAAACAGACATCTCTATTCCAGCTAAGCCGTCACCATAAAACTGACCTGTGTCCTGGAGATGACTAGCATCCTATCCCCCAAAGCAGAACACAGAGCTCATTTTCCCAAATATGCCAAGACCTCTGCTGAGGAACAGCTAAATAGAATAATCATTGACCAGACCACCTGTGTGGATTCCAAAAGAGTTGCAGGTGCAATTTTTCACAGGAAACGTGGTCTTGGGGAATCACTGGGTTAGCGTGTAGAGTCTGCCTGGGTCTGCCTGTAACCTATGGATGACTGACATAACAATTTGAAGTTCTGTATTTCCTAGACCATTTGCAATTACAAACACTCTCTTTTGCTGTCTCCATAAGTGTATTTGTTCTTGTCCTAGAGAGCAGGGATCATTGGGCTTTCTTCTCACAGATCCTGCGGTAGCTGATGTCACATGATACAGCATCAAATGTCCTTGTTAGGCCTATGGTCACACAGTTGAAATTCTCATTCTGATTGGTAACACTAAATGAGAAGAGAAAGCCATGTGGTTAAATCCCATCATTTTAGCCCACCTCTTCCAGATTCCAGAGTGAGGTTTGTAGGTACTATGCTTGGAGGGATGGCAGTCTGACCAGACCCACATACACCTTCTCTAGAATGACCTCCTTTCCAGCTCAGGCCCCCTCTCCTAAATCTAGCACCCAAAGTCAGCTCTCAACCTACCCTTTCCTGTCAACTCTCCCGTGAGCTTGTTGGGATTTGCTGCCTCTAACTCACTCTTGTGTTTGGTCAGACGCATATCATGGACTCCCCTCCCTCTCTCAGATGGACTGTTTAGTGTTGTATGTGCATTCATCACAGGAGGACCAGGAGAAGGTAGAGGGAGATTGTCATTTTTCCCTTGAGCTCCACCCACTTCAGGAACACCTGGTTGCCTCTCCCACCTCTAATTCTAATGTGGCTCTGCCACTTCCTAACCTGTTGATATTCACCACGTTTCTAAGAACTTTTTGTCCTCTGTTCAACTGTCCACTAAATGGAGAGTAACAAAAGCTTTTTCTATAGCATCAGGTGAATATGACAGGAAATAGCACTTGCAAGGTGTTTGGTTTAGTGCCTTGCATTTAGTAAACACTGAGTAAACATTAACATCCTCCTGTCTGTGGGGAATTCTGGTTATGGGCTGGGGAACTCACTCATTCTCTGGGTCAGCATTTTTATATGAACGCTAGGAATATTATTTTCTCTACCAACATTTACCCATATGGAATGATTTATAAAAAATAGCTCTTGGGAGTTAAAAGTTCATAGCATTAAGGCATAGAAAATCTTTTAATGATAACCTTTCTTTAGATATCATTTTGGGCAATTTGTAGGCCCCTAGTAATAAAATGTGATCTGTGGGTTAAAAGAGACGTATGAGATACACCAAAAGATGTACAAACTATGTATGTGGATTTATTCAGATCTTGATTAGAAAAAAATAATTTGTTTCATGAATGCTTTTCTCTCTCCGTATGAATGTTTGATACTTTCCACAATAAAAGGATTGTAAAAATGTGTCTCAAAGAACAGATGTCTCACAGAAAGATGAAGAGCAGAACAGAGTCAAGTCTCAGCCTTTGAGCTATTCTGGGAGGAACCCATGAATCCCATGTTTGGTCTCCTGTGGCAAACCAAGATCCCCAGAAAAACATGCATGTTCACTTACCTGCCATTGAACACAGAGTTGTCAATCCAACGCCACTTCTTCTCTGCACGCTGGTACATTAGGCCAATAAAATACTTTTCAGCACCAGTTATGTTCTGTAGAAATTTCTAGAAATTAAAAAAAACATAAACAGTTCAGCAGTGAATTCTTTACTGATGCCTCCCTTGAATGAATGGGCCCATGATTCTATCTGGTTCTGAGAAGAAAAAAGGCTGATAAAGAACTGTGGGACTGGCTGGGACTGGTATATACCACCAGCCCTGGGGAGTGGTTGTCAAGGTCCACACGGCATTGTGATCACCCAAGTCTTGTTAAAACATGACTGTGAGCTCTGGCTCTGCAGGTGTGCTATAGGGGACCAAGGATTTGCCTTCCTAACAAATGTCCAGGTGACGCTGAGGCTGATCTCCCAAGAGTGATGGGAAGGGTGGTATACAATCTCAAACAGGTGCTATGCCTGTCTGTGTAGGCATTATTTTCATTGCCGGGGGTTTTATATTCCAAATAAGGTTGAATCAAGTCATAACAAAATGTGTTTATGTTCCTTGAGAACTTAGCAAAGGAAAACAGGAGTATTTAAAAGTGTGTTGATAAAGCAGGAATATCAAGGAGAAATAATCCAATGCTTATCAAATACTTATTAAATTGACACTACTCTAAGACATCTTTGTTTTTGTATTTATGACTCACAAATAACTCTAGCCAGAAATCATTCCTTAGTTCTTCCTTCTTAATGTTATCCTATTACAAAATATATCATTTCACTGATTTTTAAAATTAATTACTGAATTTATGCATTCACCTAACTTTTTTTGGTATTTATTATATGCCAGGTATTGTGCTGGGCTGGGGATCTGGAGACAAATATATTTCTCCTCAAAGAAAATATGGCTTAAAGCAGGGGATGGCAAACTACAGCCAGCAGGACAAATCCAAATGCAGCCTGTTTTTGTAAATAAGTTTTACTGGATGTACCCAGACCCATTTGTTTACATGTTGCCTATGACTGCTTTTTTTTTCTTTGAGACAGAGCCTCAAGCTATCCTCCTGGGTAGAGTGCTGTGGCATCACAACTCATGGCAACCTCCAACTCCTGGGCTCAAGCAAGTCTCCTGCCACCGCCTCCCAAGTAGCTGGGACCACAGATGCCCACCACAATGCCTGGCTATTTTTTTTGGTTGCAGCCGTCATTGTTGTTTGGCGGGCCCAGGCTGGATTCGAACCCACCACCTTAGGTGTATGTGGTTGGTGCCTTAGCTACTTGAGCCACAGGCGCCAAGCTGCCTATGACTGCTTTAGAGCTCTAACAGCAGAGTTGAGTAGTTGTGACCAAGAATTGAGACATGAAAAACTTAACACATATATATATTTTCTGGCCTGTTGAGAAAAATTTACTAGGTAGGTACAGCAGCTGACATCTGTAATTCTAGCACTCTGGGAGACTGGGGCAGGAGGATTCCTTGAGCTCAGGAGTTCAAGAGAAGCCTGAGTAACAGTGGGATCCTGTCTTTACTAAAAACAGAAGAACTAGCCTGGCATTGTGATGGGTGACTGTAGTCTCAGCTACTCAGGAGGCTACTTGAGTCGAAGGGTTGCTTGAACTCAAGAGTTTGAGGTTGCTGTGAGCTATGACACCATGGCCCTTTACCCAGGGAGACAGAGTGAGATTCTGTCTCAAAATAATAAAATAAAATAAGTTTATTGACCCATGGTCTAAACCCAGGATTCTTAATCCTTAACTCTCATGCTGGAAGTCACGCATGGTTTCTAAGGAGATCTATGAAACCATTGGTATTTTATTGAAAATATTGCGTTTATGTAATGTTTCTAGAAAGAGATGTGCATATTTCATCACAGTTTTTAAAACTTCAGTGACCCATCATTTGAAGAGCCATAGGTTTAATAAGAGAAGACAGATGAGTTAACCAGCATGGTGGGGTATCACAGGTGCAATGTTGGGAAATACTGACTGGTCTGGCACAAGCAGAAAGGAGGAAGTGATCATTCTACATGGATTTGAAACTTTTTAAAATAAAGACTATAGATAAGGTGATACTTGAGATGAACTAGGGGAGCAAGCTAACAGAGGATGTGGACTTCCTGGAAGGGACAGCACCAGATCGCAGGCATATCACAGCCTGCACATCTAGGTAACCCCAAGATGCTCCGCATGGCTGGTGCTGAGGTGGGATGGAGGCAGGTTGAGAGACTAGGCTGAGTGAAGGCAAATGCTGGGCTTTGCAGGGCCTGATATGTCATACTAGGAAAACTGGACTTCTATCTGTTTTAATTTGGAAAATGGCAGAATCAGTTTAAAGCCTTAAAGACATGTCTGTTCTGTGGAGGATAGGTTAAGAAGAGGGCACAACTGGAGGCAAGGAGATGAATGAAAATAATTCTGAATAAATCCAGGTAAGAACAGAACTACACATTGTGTGGATAGAGGAGAAAGGACTTGGTTAGCAACCGATTTGAGAAGAAAAAAGAAGAAAAGGCCCAGAATACACCCAGCATTCAATCTTTGGTGGTATGACTACATGCTAGTATTTGAAACACAAGAGGAGGAGCAGTTGGGGTTCATTAAAATTGGCTCAGCTTTGAATATGGTTGAGTTTATGGGACTTTTAAAACATCAAAGTAAAAATTGATATACTGTCTGATGGGGAGAAGGTAGAGCTGGAGATACAGACTTGAGCATCTTGAGCAAACCGTTGGTGTGATGCGCTTTTTCTGGGATTAGCATGGACGGTAAGTGGTGGAGAATGGAAGGATGGAACTTGGGAGGCACCAATACTGAATGGCTGAGTAGGGGAAAAGAGAGCATGAACTTATTACCCTTTCATCCATCTTCCTTTCTCCCACTGCCTTGTTTTAGTTTTCTACCTTAAGTCCTTTTTTCTTCCCACTGGGGAATTTAGTCCTAGGTCTATAGCATTCTGATCTCTGGCCCATCTATTGCCCAGATTTGAAAAGAACCTTCTTAAAAATTCTTCTCAATCATAGGAGGATTTTTTAGAGAAGTGAAGGGATAGAGGGGAGAGAAACAAGAATGGTGTAGGTAGCACAATGCCTGGCACTCAGCAAATGCTTAGGATTTAAAAGAGGCATCTGTAGACTAAAATAAATTACTGTGTAAAATTGATGAGTTTATGGGTTTTGGAGTCTGACAGATCTGAATTCAGTTCTGTGTGTTGTTATTTAGGTGTATGACCTTGATCAAACTACTTTTCTGTGCCCTTGTTTCTTCATTTATAAAATATAGCTATTAACTCATCCTTGGGGTTGTTAGGAGGTTAAATCAGATAATACAACAAAAATCTCTTTGCTTAGTGTTATCTGTGTTTATTACCATGATTATAAACTGCAAACTCAGTTCTATGACCTTTGTTTTTCATATTACTAATTTCATTACTTACATCTTCTTTTTTTTTTTTTTTTTGAGACAGAGCCTCAAGCCCTGGGTAGAGTGCTGTGGCATTACAGCTCACAGCAACCTCCAACTCCTGGGCTCAAGCGAGTCTCCTGCCTCTGCTTCCCAAGTAGCTGGGACTACAGGCGCCCACCACAACGCCCGGCTATTTTTTGGTTGCAGCCGTCATTGTTGTTTGGCGGGTCTGGGCTAGGGATTTGAACCCGCCACCTTAGGTGTACGTGACTGGCGCCTTAGCCGGTTGAGCTACAGGTGCCGAGCCTACATCTTCTTTATTTACTATGCAGAATGGGATAATACATTGACATCTCACTCCAATGAAGTATTCTGTAGTTTTTAAACAACTTTTATACACATCAGTTCATTTGGTCCTTTTATGAACTGTAAATGTCTTAGCCCATCCCCCAGGTACCAGCTCACTCTTGTGCCTTATGGGAACAGCCACAGAGTATGGATTTCTGTAGCTCAGATGCATGAGAAGAACAGGCCCCATTGCTACCAAGAAGACTCTCAGGGAGCTTAAGCTTCTCAGCCAGCCTCCCTTCCCCACCAACCCCACCCTTGCTCCAACAAACTGCCTACCCACTGAGATTGGTGTAGGGTGGGCTGCTTGACCACACCATTCCAATGTTCTTACCAGTTTCTCTGGCGTGTTGACAATTGCCAAAGTAGACCCTTCCCTTTTACAAAAGTCCCTGCTTTCATTCCAGGGTGATTCAGAAGTGGATAATAAAAAACATGTTCCTTCATAAAAGTTCCAGGATTTTGGACAGACTGAAGAGATCCAAAATAAGAAAGAGAGAAAGAGAAAGAAAGTATGAGATTAGTGGTTTGGACTGTGAACCTTGGAATTGAATCACAAAATAGTAGGACATGAGTTTCTTTCTAATGATCATGTTGTTACAAATCAACCTCAATCCAGGAAGCAATTCCACCCAGTCTAAGTGTTTTTCCCTGTCAATAATATAAAGAGAATGAATTAGAAGGTCTTTATGAGCTCCTTGAACAAAAAATCTCACAAGAATCATAATTGCTAAGTCATGGAAGAAGCCCAAGTGCCATTGACCCATGAATGGACCAATAAATTATGGTGTATGTACACCATGGAATATTATGCAGCCTTAAAGAAAGATAGAGACTTTACCTGTTACATGTTTACATGAATGGAGCTGGAACATATTCTTCTTAGCAAAGTATCTCAAGAATGGAAGAAAAAGTATTCAATGTACTCAGTCTTACTATGAAACTGAAGAAGAGAAAATTATAGCCCAAGAAGAAGGGGAAAGGTGAGAGGGAGAGGAGGGGAGGGGGGATGGGTGGAGGAAGAGTAATTGGTGGTACCAGACCTACAGTGCATCTTACAAGGGTACATGTGAAATTTGCTAGGTATAGAATATAAATGTCTTAACACAATAACTAAGAAAATCCATGAAGGCTATGTTGACCAGTTTGATGAAAGCATTTCAAATTGTATATAAAACCAGCACATTGTACCCCATGATTGCATTAATGTACATAGCTATGATTTAATAAAAAAAAATCTCACATGAAAGAAGGCAATGGGAAAAGGTGCTTAGAAATTCAGCACCTGAGAACCTAAGGGATGGAGAGTAGGTGATAAGCATTCACTTTACCTGTTCCATAGCTCCTCGTGGGAATGAAGCTGTCAGGGCTTAGGGAACTGTTTCCAGAAGTCTGTGAGACTAAAATGAAAAGAAAACCTGAAACTCACTGTACAATGTATAAAACACAAAATCATCAGAGTAGGGCTGTGACCATTTGTCTCTGAATTGTAGTGACGATAGGGGACTACTGGTCACTCTGAGCCAGAAATTTTAAATGTTTTCTTTCTTTGGACCTTCAATCAAACTACCACCATTGTTTATCATGCTGAGTACCTGAAGTCCTATGTCATATCATCCTCTTTCAGTGTGATAATAGGTATGAGATGTTGAGAAAAAGAATAAAATAAAGGCAAGTAGTGGAGGAACTCAGTAAGGGAGAGGAAGCCTCTTATTCCTTTCTCACACAGAAGGGCCTCTGTAAGTTGACCACCTAAGCCACTGTAACCAACTGGTCAACATATGGAGGTGGTCAATGTAGGGAAGCGCTCAACCATGGAGATTCTATTGTATATACCTTTAACAGTGTTATCCCTAAAGAGCTGTTGGGAGCACTTCCACCCTAGACTCCATGCAGTATCTTTGCTGTTTTTCCTGTCTCTGGTGTCTCAAAGCCTATATGAAAACTCACAATCCTTCTAAGAAGTTGAGGCTAATTGGAACAAGTTTTAGGACCAAAGGGTTATTGGCAGCAGGTGAACATTCTGGAGATCTCCTGTAAGCAGAGATTGAATCCATTCATTTCTTTAATTACAACTAGGGACTTCATTTTCTTGGGAACACTGGCTGTCTAAGCAGACAGCTGCAGTGGCTTCATGGCTGGTCAAACCTCCTTTCTATGGTCCCAGTTAATTTATTCATTGTGGCTGAAGATCACTTTAATTTACCCTGACACCAAATGAGGTTACTTACATTTTTTTAATAAAATGGACAAATTAGCATTGACTTTTTATTTCAGTCGCCAGTTCATGGACTATTACTGGGACATACTGAACTTCTTGGCACAGTCAGTGGAGATGTCTGCATGTTTTCTTATGAATATGTTCACTACTCATATTCATATTTCTTTCGTGTTCCCTTAAGTGATAGGAATTATGCCTTCAGACTGGGCCATTATAGAGTCTATGAACTTGGGACTAAAATAAAAACTGAATGCTAATTTACTGGTTTTCATAAGGAGAAAACAGATCAGCTAGCGTTTACTTCTTATTTCATGTCCCAGTTCATGGACTCTTTGTAATACATAATAGCCTGTTTTTTTTTCCTCCCTGCTTTGGAGTTATAACTGAAAGAACCTGATAAATATTTTGTGAATATATTCTCCATATGGCTCACTGTACTAGGTATCTTAGCTGACGCAAAGATGAATGGAAAATGGTCTTCCCTTAAAGATGTCAATAGTAATATGTTAAGAGGAAGCGTGAGGGAGATCTCTGGAAAAGTTTCCAGAGGGTGAGCCATGCCTTACTCAGGTCTTCATCCTCCATAGCTTCTGGCATGGACCTTGTGCTCTACTGATGATGGTTGATCAATAGCTCCTATTTTTTTTATTCTTCTATTGTCCAGCATAGTACTTGGCATACAGAAAAGGTACTTAATACAACCTTTTTTTTGGTGGTACATAGACTTATTATAATAATTCCTTACAGGTATGTACCCCTCACCCCTTCAGAGTCTAGAAAGCATTTCTACATTTCATTACAATGGTTACAGATAAGTCACTCTCACACCCAGGAGATTTCAGAATCAGAAATCTCCTGAGGTCTGATATTTTTCCCCCATCTATAAAAGGAAGAGAATTAATTATAAGATTTTGGTGGATGCTTTGTGCAAAAAAATATTTCTTGGGAAAGGAGGCCATAAGGAAGGCCTCTAAGAGCTGTGCCTGGGGAAGCTGGGTGGTAGAGAAGAGGTGCCCCCCACCCCAAGGCATGTTACCTGTTCCGTAGCTCACTGTGGGGATGAAGCTATCATTACTTTTGCCAAAAATCTGTGGGACTGAAAAGAAAATCAGCTGTTGGCTCAACCCCAAATGTGGCTGCATGACAAATATAACAAACAAGCACCACTACAGGGATACCAGGGCACTGTGACTATTAGTGGGGAATATAGAACTCTCTGACTCAGTAAGTGGAGAAATATGTGCGTGATATATATATATATATATATATATATATATATGTATATATGTGAGTACATTCACTGACTCATATTCATATTTCTTCCTTGCTTTTGTAAGTGATAGACACCTTCAGATTGGGCCATGAGGACAGCACCTCTTACCCAACTGCCTCCTACTCACATTTCCTTCCTCATTTATTTTCCGTAGGACTTCTATGGTAGGAGAAGATTCTACCTCTGAATTACAGTAAAATCCTTTGATATGAGGCTTTTTTACTAAGCATTTGGATGAATTAATTTATATGTACATAGAGAGAAATTTATCCCTCACTTAAATCCTGTTACCTTATAAACTGGAGCTGGATTTTCAGATTTTAACAATAATAAGCACTTCCAAGTATTTTAACTCAGATTACCCAACAAATAATTCCATAATAAAAGCTTCGTGTAGGGTTCTAACCATCCAACATGGGTCAGTTCTGTATCTAGGACATACACAAAGGAACCTGGCCCATCATGTGAGTTGGAGAGTGAAGAGGGCATTGCCAATTACCCTTGGGTTGGGTTGGTTGCCCTCAGGAAGACAATTTTGGGCACTTATCCTTTATGTTCAACCTTGCATTCTGAGAGAAGAGTCAAACAGCAAGATGACATGGAAGTTAGGCAAGAGGTTGCCCAGATACTTACAGTACAGCAGAAATAAGGTCATTCCAACAACTTTAAGCACCACTACGATAAGCCCAGAGATTATCATGTGCCAATTCATGATGGAGATTCAAGGATTAGATTTCTGTTGGGATTAGAGCACAACAGAATCAGAATCTGGGGACAAGTATGTTTTTCACCAAGACACATCCCAGCCTCTTGCTCAGAGCACCTGTGTGAGGTTTAGAAGTCAGGTTTGTCATTGATAGGAACAAGGAAGAGACAACATGGGCTCCAGGTGCTGATAGGACCTTGTGCTGGTTGGAGCCTTTGAACTTGGCATCCCTTGCTCTAGGCCTCAGCCCCTGTTCCCCTTTGTGGCATCCTAAACTCTAATAAGTAAATCCTCTCTCTTTACTTTCTAGGTAACTTAACTAAGAACTCTTAGGTTCCCAAGGACCTTAGTTTGTAGTAATTGTCCATACTGACTTCAGTTTTCAGAAGCCTCAGTCCTCAAAGTGTCAATGTTTGGGGACAGGATAGAGAGATGTCTCTAAAGGTGTTGGTGTTGGGGAAGAGCCAATAGTCTTCACAGAGAGGACAGACAGACAGACTTACCTGCTCTCTCCCTGGAAGGCTGGGCTGGAGCAGATGTGAGTCTTTCCAGGGGCCTGAGATTGGTGTGGTGGGCACGGGCTCTGTCTCTTGAGAATACACTCCTTCTGCTTAGGCAACGTCCTTCCTTCCCTGTGGTCTCTTTGTCTTGGTGGCATCTCAGAGCAAACACTTCTTCCTGTTCTTGGCAAAGGGAGCAGGCGGGGCAAAAAAGGGAAGGGAGTCTCTAGCTGTCCCTGTAAGAGGAAGGTGCCTGAAAGGGGACTTCTAGTACAGGAGAATGTTTTGAGGAAAATTTGAAAAATAAAATACTTCAACAAAGACTCATTCTACCCCTGTGTCTGAATCCCTTTGAAATATAGTGGGAAGCAAATGCAGTAAAATGTTAACAAGTAGTAAATCTGGATAAAGAGTATCTGGAGGTATGACATTTCTGCAAGTCTGAAATTAAGTCAACATAAAAATGTTAAGAAAAAAAAATCCAGTTGAAATCACTAGTGTTAGTGAGCAGGGCGTTGGTGTTCCATTCTGTCCATTCACTGTCATCTTTGCTGGTGCCCTTGGACCCTTCTCTGGCCCACCTGCTCACCTTCCAGACTGTTTGGTGAGTATTCAGCATTTATTGAGTTTGGCACTCCACTGGAGACAGGGCTGGGGGCAGGATGAGCAAAGTCTTACTGTAAAGGAATTTTTATTACATACTAAATTTGAAAATTTCCTCTTATTATGCAGTAGAATCTCTATATGTTAACCACCCAAGGGACTGTAACCAACTGGTCAACCTACAGAGGAAGTCAACATAAGGAACTGGTCTACTGTACTGATACATACATGTGGTGCATGTCACATCTATAAAAATTAGGTCAATTTAAGGAGATGGTCAGTGTAGGGAGATGGTCAGGGTATATACTTTCTAAGTAACTTAACTCAGGACATTCAGCTGGTGAATGCCAGATCCAGGAATTAACTCTAGTACTAACTTTAAAATTTTATTCTTTTCTTTTTCAGAGGGTATTTCTTTTATTATTAGTTTTTAATTAAAATTACTCTGTATACATTTATGGATACAATGTGATGATTAGATATACAATGTGGAATGCTTAAATAAAACAGATTAACATAGCTATCAGCTCAATTTTAGAAAATGAAAGTATTGTATGTACTATGAATGTATTGTATATACTAAAATGAATGTATTGTATATACTATACAATGAATGTAATATATAAATCATAACTATTCTTATTCACTAGAAAATTACCAGAAGATTCATAGTTCACCAATTGTTAAGTAAATCACATGCTATTATACCTGAATAAATAAATCATATGCTTTTACTTGAATACTGTGCACATATTAAACAATATATATGATTAAAATGTATATTTTTACATGGAAATACATCTATAACATAGAGTTACTTTATAGTTTACAAAACAATATGCACAATATAGTTTAATTTTTCTAAATAAACCACTATCTATCTACCTAATTATCTTTTTACCTCGTTCATCTTGAAAGTGCATACCCTAAATTGCATGCATCTTTGTAAATATTGCTAATAATTTCTTTAGGCTAAGTCCTCAGAATGTAAGTGCAGAAAAAAAGGACATTTACAGTTAGAGGGCTTTGAAACATTTAAGTCGTGTTTTATTTTACCTGGAAAATCCTCTGGAGGTTTTTTTTTTTTTTTTTTTTTTTTTTTTTTAATTGTTAGGGATTCATTGAGGGTACAAAGATCCAGGTTACACTAATTGTGTTTGTCAAGCAAAGTCACTCTCATAAATGTGTTCCTCCCCCAAGAGTTGTGCCAAACACCATAACCCCCCAGCCCCCTCCCTCCTTCCCTCTCTCCACTCCCCTATTTCCCCTTTTGAGTTTTTAAAAAAATCTGATTGAACTTCTGATTTCTCTGGTCACAGGGTAATCACTTTGATGCCCTGGATTGCTGTCCAGAGGGATTGGCTTATTTACTGAACATCAATTATGCTCACTGTGATCAGTAGGATGAGCTTAGAGACGTGGTTATTTTTTTTTAGGAAGTTTTTGAACAGTAGGAAAGAGACAATTGGGTTAGCTTAATCAATATTATTGACATATTTTTTTGGCAAGTAAATTTTCTACAATAAAAAAATAGAATCAAATACCATACAAAGGGGACAAATGTTCAAAGTTTTAGGGTTTGGGGTGTAATATTTTGACTGAACTATAGGATACCTATTTGTCTTCTAAGAAAATCTAAAGAAAGATTCAAGTTCTTATTTAAGATTTTGGAGTCCTGTGATTTCTTTGCAATTGACAGTATCAGAAACATTGCTACAAAAATTAGCAGTCTGCACTGGCAACCGAGTCTATTCTAAACTGTAACTACCAAAGAGTTAAGGAAGTTAGAGAACCATGCCATACTTGTAGGTCATTTGACTAGGATATAGTATATGGCGAACAAAGCATGTGGATGTACTGTAGATGCATTTAGCGGGAAAATAGCTCTGTGTGTGTGCACATGCATGTGTATGTGAATTGATGTAGACAGTCATTAAGAGCTCTTTTACCATAAGGAAGAGGAAAAGTAGAATCCATGGAATTTCCCTTATCCTGGGTTCCAGTATCACCTGTTAGGGCTAAGAGTGTATGGCACCAGACAGCTGGACCTCTCATTTTCGGAACCCACATTGTACAACATCAAGTTGGTGGACTGATATGCCTTTGTGAAAGCAGGGCTGTGACAGACCTGTTTGGGTTGGATGTCTTTGGTGGGGGGGATATCTGAGAAAGGAAACCTAGAAGAAGAAAGGATATCCTATGATTCATTGATTGAAGTTTCAAAGGGTTGTCAATATGGACATTTACAAAAATGACTTTATTTTAAACCTCAAGATGGTGAAGACTAATATTGTCTCTTGAGCTTTATTAATAGGAAGAGATAAGATTAAGTATACACACATATGCATGTATATATATGCACATACAGGCATATGTATATATTTCCTTAAATCTATATTGCAGGAATTCTTTCAGATGGTTTAATGAGAACATGTGGAAATTGAAGGAGACCTGATGTTACCCCTTAACCTCACAGTCAGAATCTAGAAAGGTTTTACAGTTTTCTTTGCCTCCTCTTCCTCATCTCCCATGTACTCCTCAGTTCACACCCTAAGTTCTACCATGACCGCATCACCAGTGAGTCCTATTCACCAAATTCAATGGACAGCTTTCAGTCTAGCATTTGGTCTTGCAATAGGGGACCGCATCCTCCTGTGTTATATAGGTTTTCCTTGGCCTTCAGGTTACTACAACCTCTTGGTTTTCCTCCTTTTTCTCTGGCCTCTCCTTTTATTGTCTTTGCCTGCTTCTCAGATTCTCTGCTTATTCTTCTTTTCTTCTTCATCTCATGTTTTTAATCTCCATGCCTATAAAGATGATTCTGAAATCTATCTGGGTACAAATTTCTATGAAGCTTCAGATCTATATATCACCTGACTAGCTGCCCTTTTTACCCAGGTGCTTCACACACACCCCAGAGCCAACAAGACCCAAAATATAGCAATTGCTATACCCTGGCCCAAATATGTTCATCCTCTTCAATTCCTTATCTCTGAATGTGAAGACCATCAGTTCCATTGCACAGGTGACAAAATGCAGGTATTATCCTTGGCTCTCTTTCCCTCTCACCCAATAAAACTCTAAGTCATGATGACTCTATGCCCTCCAAGTCTATCAAAACTGTCCTCTTTCCTACTTCCTCATTGCTATTCCTTGCTGAGTCCTGATCCCTTCAACAACCTCCAAGGAAACCTCTCTGCCATAATCTTGCCTTGACCTTTAGTTACCATGATCTAAAATGCAAGCTTGGTTATATATCTTCATGATTAAACATTTTAGTAACTTTCCACTGCCATTAGGATAAAGGTTAGCTCACTTAATGTAATCTTTAAGTCTCTGTATGCTCATTCTTTCAACAAATGCTGCTGAGTGCTATCATGTGCCAGAAATTCATCTAGGTTCTTGGGAGACACATGTTAGTTCTTCTGTCCTTCTCATGACACCATGTCTATCATAGCATTATCTGCTGGTGACATTAATCTTCTAGTCTCTCTGCTGGATCCAAATATTCACATAGTTACCTGACAACTGTTTGTTGAACACATAATATGTGCAAAGCAGTAACACTGCCACTTGTTTTCTTCCAAGCACACACATATGTTCTTATCTGCTCTCTTTGACTGGATAACTCTGACTTATTTGGGGGGTCTCAGCTTATCTTTTAGGTCTCATCTTTTCAGGCAAACTTTCTTGTCAATTTTCTTTCCCTGATCCAGTTGCCTTTAGGTGTCCCTTAATATCATATATATTTTTTTCCCTTGGGAGAAATTATTGTGGAGCACTTACTGCATGATGATGCACTTATTTGCTTCTCCTATGAGACTGCATGAAGCCAAGAAGACAGTGGCTGAGTCTGTCTTCCTCACTGCTGCAGCCCAGCAAACCCACAGCTCTAGAAACACCA